ATCCAAAGAAATCCAAAACACTAATTTGAAAAGATATACTCATGTGCGCGCCTATGTTAATTGCAGTAGTATTCACAATAGCCAAGATATGGAAACAACTGAAATGCCTATCAACAGATGATTGGATAGAGAAATTATGATACATATATACAACGGAGTATTACTCTGTCATAATAAAGAACAAAATCTTACATTTGCAACAACATGGATGGGCCTAAAGGGTATTATGCTAAGTAAAATCAGACTGAGAAAGACAAATATATCTCATTTATATGTGGAATCTAAAGAACAGAATAAATAAGCACATAAAACAGAAATAAACTCATAAGTACAGAAAACAATTGATGGTTGCTAGATGGGAGGAGGGTGGGTAAGAAAGGGAAAGGGATTAAGGAGTACAAATTGGTAGTTACAAAATAGTCGTGGGACGTGAAATACAGTATGGGGAATATAGTCAATAATATTGTAAAAACTATGAATAGTGTCAGATGGGTACTAGACTTAATGAAGGGATCACTTCATAAATTATATAAATGCCTAACCACTACACTGTATACCTGAAACTAAGAAAATTATTGAATGCCAACTATAATTTCAAAATATATAGTCACGGGATATAAAATGCAGCATAAGGAATATAGTCAATGGTATTATAATAGCTATGTACAGTGTCAAATGGGTAGACTTGTTGGGGTTATCGCTTTGTGAGGAGTGTAAATGTCTAATCACTACGTTGTTTTGTACACCTGAAACTAATAATAAAAAAATAAAATAAAGCATTACTTCATAATAACCTTTTCAATTATTTTCTCAGTCAACTATTATATTAACCATACAATTGTGATTGTATGGGTATCTGAGAAATTTGTATTATTATTATTAATAATCAATAAATTCATGAATAAATGGTAGTAAAAGAAGAAATGAAGTGAGGAGGCATTCCAGTACAGAATATCCAAACAAAGTATCAGAGACATACTGTAACTTGGGAAGCAGCACAACCTTAGAGTTAGCGCATAAGGAAAAAATAAGTCTGAACAGGCTGGGTTATAGTTCTACCAAAAATGTGGGCCTATAGGCCCAAGATTACCAATCTTTTGATTCTAATAACTTTTTTTAATGTCAAAAGCTGTATAGATACCCATGTGATAGTAATTATACTTTTAGTGTCCATTGATTAAGAAAATACATAATGAAAAATGTTATGATGAAATCACTAGTAATTTTAAATAAACTTCAATTTTGTTCGTCACAATAGTATCTTAGGCTTTTTAAAAAAATTAGTGGGATTTTGTAGGAATTATTCAATATAAGACAAAGGTTAGTGAACATAGAGATCGACTCATGCCCTTCTCACAAACTGAGAGCCCTGCTATAGTAATAGTAGCAGTAGTAGCAGCATTCATTGAATACTTGCTAATACATGTATAGTGCCTATTCAAACACTGTACATATATTAACTCATTTAATTCACAGAAAAACCATATGAGATAGGCATTATTATTATCCCCACTTGTGGCAGAGTTTGTTTTTACGTCACTATACTTTTTCTTCCTTTTTCCTTTACAAGAGGCCCTAATTTTCAACTGAAGACATTACTGCTGTAAGACTGCATTTCCTTGCTTCCTTGATCTCTGGGGGTAACCACGTGACTCAGTTCAGATCAATGAAAAGTAAGTGGAAATGCACTTTTGGAGAAGTCTTCCTAAATATTGGAGGCAGGTGTGCCCTTCTTCCGGCTTCCTGGATTGAGAACATCATGTCTGAAAGTGAAGATGAGGTCCATTCTATAGGGACGACAGAGCAGTGAGCTAGAAGCAATGTGCCATCCCAGTCCCGGATGGCGTCCTTCTGGATTTATTTTATGTGAGAGAGAAGAAAATTCTATCTTTATTTTATTTCCTGTTGTATGGAGCCAAACTTAATCCTCACTGATGCGTCATTTTGGAAATGAGAAAACTAGGTTCCTGAGGTTAAGTACTTTGCCTGATGTAACAAAATTAATAAAAGGCAGAGAGAGACTTTGAATTCACACATTCTTACTGCAGAGTTCTTACTGCAGAGCCCTACATATATTATGTCTTGCTGTACAACTGTAGGAAATGGGCTTGACATAGGGAAGTAACAAATGTGTTCTCTTCACTAGTATTAGTTGTAGGCTGCCACGGGAAGGGGCATTGCCTTCATAAGGTAGGCCTCTTCTGCTGAGGCAATTCTGAAGGGGGCTGATTGCTGAGGGCTATCTGCTGGCAGCATTCCCAGCAGCTGTGGGAATAAGTCCTTCCTTCCTGAAAGGAATGTGGGTGGCATATCATAACATCTACCTCCCATGCCTGACATCATATCCGTCCTGTACCTGTGACCAAATTACTAATTGATCATAGCTTTCTTTCTCACTTAGCTCATCTATGCTTTCTTAATCTTTTTTTGATACAGCAATCCAGGCATTGTTACAAATTGACTGGAGTTAGCACACAGCCTACGAGCCCTTTTCCTCTAGCTATCTAAAACCCCGTGATGGAAGGGTATGAAGGTGGGGACCACTTTGACTCAGGACAATTCTCAATGACCATCCCAGCTTCAGAGCACTACATGGATTTGGCTGAGGCTTTCACTGAGACTGCGTAGCAGCCCAACTTTTCCGCCCATCCTGTCTTCCTCCAACTAATGAACAATAATACATTATAATTAACAAAGTCAGTATTTTATTCAGAATTCCTTAGTTTTTACCTAATGTCCCTTTTCTGTTCTAGGATTCTATTAATATCTAGGATATCACATTTCATTTAGTAGTTATGTCTCCTTACCTTCTTTTGGCTGTGAAAATTTTTCAGATTTTCCTTGGTTTTGATGACCTTGACAGTTTGTAAGATTACTGTTAAGGTATTTTGTAGAGTGTCTCTTAGTTGGGATTTGCCTGATGTTTTTCTCATGGTTAGACTGGGGTTAGGAGTTTTAGGAAGGAAAGACTACAGAGTGCTACTCTCAATCACATCCCATGAAGGATACATACGAACAGCATGACATCAATATTGTCGTTAACCTTGATCACCTGGCTTAAGGAATTAACTTTTACCTCAATCTGTTTAATGCCCAAGCCAGAACCATCTATAGGAGAGCCCTTATACAATGTTTTGATGATATCTGGATTGGGTTCATTAGTAGGGGGGAATAGCTTAAAGAGGTTTGTCTCATGAAAACAGAAAAAAATAAAAAAAATTCCCTGGTGGGAAAAGTGGAAATAGAATTGGTTTTCAAGATTCAGCCCTGCTACTTATGAGACATAGGACTTTGAGTAAATTACTCCTGCATCTGTAAAATGGAATAATGGTACCAAATATTTCTTTTAAGCATCTGATTTAAAAAATATATGTAAATGTGTTTTCTATAATATTATACTTTTACATGTCGGAATCCCATATAAAAACGAAAACACTTTTGGAAAGAGTTACATCTTAATCGGTTAACATTACTTTATAAATTCTCAACAGCTGGCTAAGCAAAGCAGGTTCAATACGAAGTTGAGGAACGGATAGGCAGGGAGGCTCATTATAATCAATGATTTCCCGTTTTTGCCTTGCTCCCTTTTGCCAAAGTTGGCTTGTCATTGGAAACTGGATGGGATTTCTTATATCTTATGAAACCAGAACACAGGGCTCAAGTTTGACATAAACTAAATATTAATAATTTTGGTGGTGTTCTTCTGTATCTATGAAAGGGAAATAATCACTCTTTGAATGTGCAATTCTCCTAGGCTATCCTAGTACCACTGGGCAAGCAACTTTATTTTTAAAATGCACAGGAAGCATAGAACAATTATTCTAAGCCCAATGTCTTCCGGCCTCAAAATCATACCATTCTGAATTGAATGAAAATACCAAACTTTTTGCGTTCTTGAGGTTTTATGCTCATGAAAGTTCTTGAACCTGATGTCTGAAAAATAAAGCAACTCCATCTTCTTAAACATGATAGAGCCAAAAACTTTTTAAATTTTTATGTAAGGGGAAAGGAAATACGCAGACAAAACAAAAGCGGTAGAGGCTTTCTCTGCATCACTGTAATTAAGGCTGAATATATACCAACACAGCCTGGTATAATGAAAGAGCAATGATGTACTAGACCAATGATCTGGATTCACGCCCAACTCTCTCAATGGGAATTTGAGAAAGTTACTGGAACACCTTTGAGTCTTGGAAATCCTCATCTGTAAAACTGTGTTGTTGAGAGGATAATAAGAGACTAGGCATGCAAAAACATTTCGTAGGAGAGCAATTATTTCTAACTCAGAAAGTGCTCCCTGTCAGCAATAGCATTGGTTATCATTCATTCACTGAGGGCAGCTTCTGGGCTTTCTATTTGGAAGCCCAGCTCAAAGCAAAAGCAGCAATGAGTTTAAGAACAGGAGCGCACACATTCTGAAGTTCTTTTCCGTTCGCGAAAGCAGTAACCTTGGAAACCAGGCTGACAGTCATGAAGCTTAGTTTTTCTTGCCTTTTCCCGTAATAGTTGGGGCACCGCTATTTTATGGTCTTTTCGTTTTGTTTTGTGTTCTTTCCACATTGTTATCACAAACGAGAATATTTCCTTCCACTGAAGCAAATACAAAACCTTTGGAGTCGCCCCTTCAGCCCGCAGCTCACCTACTGTTTTCCCTGCACAGTGATCGCAGCCCAGGAATCCTCAAAGACAAAAACTCTCAGGAGGGCCAGGGCAACGCAGGCACGCCCTAGACCCTGGGTCAAGGGAATTGAGCAGGTAAAAGCTGAATGGACAAGGATCCAGGTACCAGAGATAACCCAAACCGCCAAAATTAACACAACTCTCTTCCTAACAGAGATAACCCTCGCGAGATAAGCCTATAAAGGGCGAGAGAAGCCCACTTTCTCGCGAGAAGAGGGGGCGCCGGCGCAAACTAAGAAATGGCCCCCTTGGCGACCCAGACCTAGCCAGTGGGCGGGGCCAGGGTTAAATCCGCCCCCTTCCGGCTCCTTTCCCCGCCCCCTACCCCTGAGGTGTTGGGCCCGAGGTTCGGGCAGCTAAGGTTCTTCAGGTTCCTCTAGGCTGGTGCTGGGTCGTGTTGATAACCTCCAGAAAGCGTTTTGGCCGGATTTGAGGAGGGGGGCGGGGAGGGGCCTGCGGCTTGCGGCCCCGCCCCCTTCTCCGGCTCGCGGGCCGGCGCACTGGCCCGCCTACTCCCTCCGCCGGCCCTGGGGCCGCGTCCCCCCGGCAGCTCAGCAGCGGCGGCCTGAGCTTCTGTCCGCAGGTGTCGGTGGCGAGGCCCCCGGGCACAGCCTGGCTCGGCCCCATGGTGGGTTTCGGGGCCAACCGGAGGGCCGGTCGCCTGCCCTCCTTCGTGTTGGTGGTGCTGCTGGTGGTGATCGCGATCCTCGCCTTCAACTACTGGAGCATCTCCTCCCGCCACGTCCTGCTTCAGGAGGAGGTGGCCGAGCTGCAGGGCCAGGTCCAGCGCACCGAGGTGGCCCGCGGGCGCTTGGAGAAGCGCAATTCAGACCTCCTGCTCCTGGTGGACTCTCACAAGAAACAGATCGACCAGAAGGAGGCCGACTACGGCCGCCTCAGCAGCCGACTGCAGGCCAGGGAGGGCCTAGGGAAGAGATGCGAGGATGACAAGGTAAGGAGGAGCCCTCTCCCCTCAACCCCCCCATAGTTTCAGCTGCAGGGTGGGGGGTGTTAGCCCGCCAGCGGCCGTTTTATGCCTTCCAGGATTGCAGCCCTGGAGGCCCCCCTTTACCGCCAACAATCCTGCTTCTCTGGACTTTTTCCGGTTTATCACTGCCACATTCTCCAGCCCCTGCCAGACTTAACTGGTTGTAAGTTCTGGTTCTCAAGAGTGGCCTGTATGTGGATGCCGCCTTTTCTCCAACCTCAGCTGCTGAGCTGGCAGTAGTAATCAGCTGGCCTATGTGGCCGCCTTACGTTCACAGATACACAAATCTGGAGACTGCCAGATTTGGTGTGGGTGTTGTTGCCTTAGCTTTATTCCGTGCACACTGATCAATATTAATTTCTTTATTTAAAGAATGGGGTCTCCTCTAACTGCCCCACTTACGGTGGTCACCATATATTTATTAAGCAGTATGACTTTTCATAAATCTCTATAGGACATTGTATTAAATAGTTAAAGAATCAGATATTTCTGCCCTTTTTGTGATTTAAAATATTATGATACATGGGCTCTGGAGCCATATATGTGTGCCACACTTGGGACTTGGACATAGTTAATCCAAAATTATGTACTCGATTTGAACTGTTAATGAAATTAGCCAAAGAGGTAGAATCTAAAAATAATGTTATATGCAACAGAATCCAAGTCAGTGTCTTCATTGTTCTTGAAAGGTAATAAAAATGAAATTTTTTATGATTAAGTAGCTATCATGGTTGGTGTTATATGCAGATAGAAAGCCATACAAAGTTTAAATTTAAAAAGTTTAAAGCTGGACTGTAACGAGACCTACTACTAAATAGTCTTTGTTCTCACCAGCATATTGCAACTTCTGTTGGGATAGCAGAGTTGTGAAAATTTCTGGTGTGGGATAAGTAGATGCCTTTCTTTCTGTAGCCTTCTTTGGTATTTTTCACATTGTTTTTTGTGTGTTCCTTTTATAATTATAAGTTTTTATTTTGTATATCAAAATCGTTTATAGTAAATTATTATTAATTGAAATCTCCATGAGCTTCCAACTTCCTTATTGTCATCAGCCTCTACCATACTTATTTCATGAAGATTGAGGCTCCTCAGGTAAGTGCTTTTCTATAACTCCCTCCTCTTCATCACAACATAGACATCCGATGAGAGGAGCAAGAGATCAGCAAATCTATATATATACTAAACACACTGAACTCTAACAAATTCTCTTGGGTGGAGTAGGCAGAAATCCATGAGATTTTGGAGTATTTAAGTAAGGTCTTCAGACTTGGAATGGTTAGGCATTACTCAACTCGTCTCTCTAATCTGAAAGGAAAGATAAGTCTTTTCTAGTAGTAATTTGTACCCTGGATTCCATTTCTTCCATCTGCTGGACTGTAATTATCAGTTTCTTTCAGTAGGTTTTTACTTTTACTTTCAAACAGGTATAGGTGTCCCCTGTTCTAATTTCTTTTTTATTCCTTTTATACTACCTTCTCTCAATCAACCAATTTCTTTTTTATTTTCTGTTAACTCCCATTTATTGATGGTCTATAAATGCTTCATCTACTTCTTTTTTTATCCCCATCCTAATCTTTTTTATTCTGGTAGCCAAGCTTCTTTCTTCCGTTTTTTTGAAGTTATTCTTTTGAAGGTCGTAAGTGACCTAGTCAAATCCAAAAATAATATTTTTATTCTCAATCCATTTAATCTCTCAGTAGTTTGGTCCTGTTGATTGTCTCTAGCTTTTTGGAAACTATCTCCTTTCTTGCTTCTGTAATATTGAACTCTCCAGATTTGCTCCCTATCTTCTTCAGTATATTCGTTGCTGGATATTTTTTATCTTCCACCTGATAATGGACTCTATTCTTGGGCCTTTGCTTTCTCCTTAGAGCAGTATTTCTCAAAGTGGTGTTAAACAATACTGTCCTAGGAATTGTTCATAGGAATTGGTCAGGAGAAAAAAAAGAAAACCATTTTGGGAGGCAAATGTTAAATACTATAAGTAGTATATCCCCCCTTGGAGTTCATAATTGTTGTTATTTGCTGTTGAGTCAGTTCTGACTCCTCCCGACCCTGTGCATGAGTGATGTCCACAGTGTCCCGTCCTCACAGCCCTGCTCAGCTCCTATAGACACATGCCTATGGCTTCTTTTATGGAATCAATCCATCTCATGTTTGGTTTTCATCTTTTCCTGCTGCCTTCTATTTTCCCCAGCATTATTGTCATTTCCAAGAAACTCTGCCTTCTCATGATGTGCCTGAAGTAAGACAGCTTCAGTTTTGTCATTCTTGCCACCAGTGATATTTCAGGCTTAATTTACTCTAGGATTCACTTGTTCATCTTTCCAGCAGTCCAGGGTATCTGTAAAACTCTCTTCCAATACCATATTTCAAATGAATCAATTTTTTCCCTATCAGCCTTCTTCACTGTCCAACGTTTGCATCCCTGAATAGTAATTAGGGATATGAGGGTGTGGATGATCTTAGCCTTGGTCTCTAATGATACATCTTTGTTCCTGATCATTCCTAATTCCACTATTGCTGCCCCTCCAAGTCTCAGCCTTCTCTTCATTTCTTGGCTGTAGTCTCCATTTGAATTGGTGACTGAACCAAGGTAAGCAAAATCTTTAACAGTTTCAGTGTCTTTATTTTCTGTGTTAAAGTTGTGTATTCCTCCTGTAGTAATGATTTTTGTGTCCTTCTATTCAAATATAGTCTTGCTTTGGCACTTTTTTCTTCACCTTCATTACAAGTCATTATACAGTCTGTAGGAAATCTATTAGTAAAGAAGCCTATTTAATTTTGTTTAAACTAGTCTCACTCAGTTAATTTGATCACAGATTTCTATTTCACAGCCTACTTGTTATAATACAAATGATAAAGCACACTAGTTGGGATATGTTGTTCTAGGTATCTTAACTTCTTTTGTTTGGCTAATCTATGCAGCTAGCTCACAAATCTATGTCTGTTACGTGTATGTCAATTCCGTATTTTGAGTTAGCTATAGCATCTTTGTTGGCGTGCTTATAAATGTTTGTTCTTGGAGTCAATGAAGAAGCTCTGAACTGCTAATAAAGGGTGGTCTTGGTCTAGACGAACTATAGATGCAATTTGTCTTTCAAAGGTATTTCCTTTACTGCTGTTAGTCCCTTGATATCTGGAGAAGTATATGATAGATTAAAAAATATTTCAAACTTAGAAGGCTATGCATAGTTTCTAGCTATGTGACTTTGGAGCAAGTTATTTAACCACCTTGGGCCCATTTTCTCATCTGTAAAATGGGGATTATATACCTTCTTAGGTATTGTACAGGTCCAAGATCACCTTATATTTTGCCTTCCCCCAAAGGGTTATAGCCTAGAGGAGTATATTAGTTTGCTAGGGCTGCCATAGGAAATACCATACAAAAGACTGGGTGACTAAAAACAACAGAAATTTTTGTTCTCACAGTTCTGGAGTCTGGAAGTCCAAGGTTGAAGTGCCAGCAGGTTGGTTTCTTCTAGGGTCTCTCTCCTTGGCTTGCAGACGGCCACCCTCTTGCTGCTTGATCATCAAAATGGCTGTCCTTCTGTGCATGCATATCCCTGGGGTCTCTTTCTCCTCTTATAAGAACACCGGTCATATTGGAACAGGGCCCCACCCTAATGCCTCGTTTTAACTTAATCACATCTTTAAAAACTTTATTGCCAAAGAGATTACATTCTGAAGTAGTAGGGGTTGAGACTTCAATGTATGGATTTTAGGGGAACACAATTCAGCCCATAACCAGGGGTATCCATGACACATACACTGCTTTTTCTTTCCTCTTTCTGTCAGAAAGGCCCTTTCTTCTCTTTCCTAGATGTAGGACATTTCCATTATCCTAATTTGAATTCTCGCTACCTGTATTTTCTACTAAAGCTGTGTGGTCCAGGTAGGACAAGTCAAGCTCTTGATAAATAAAAGGAACTGTTATGCTGTAGAAAAAGTCCTCTCCAAAGTTGTTTTATTACAAATGAAAAAGGTTTGAACCATCTACTTTTATAGATTCTTTTACAGAAGTAAAATTTTGTACATATGTACATGTACATATCTGTTTCATTTGGGTTCATTTCTATAGTATTTTGTAAGAATTAAAATAAAAGTTGGAGTACCTGAAAAAAAAAAAAAAAAGGTTTGAAGCTGGATAATAAATGGCCTCTTTTCCCTTTACCAATCACAATCTGCCCTGAGGAGTATAAATACCTTTGGATGAATAGGGAAAAAGTCATGTGCCAGAAGGGAGGATGGGGGAAGCATGTTACTTTTTTTCCAAAAAATATCCTCATTGTGTGTGTATGTACACAACACTCGTACACATACAAAATATGTATATGTAAAAACACAGTACATGTTCGTTACCGTGGGACCAAATCCTGGCTCTGCCATTTAGTATGTGTATAACCATGGGCAAATTACTTAATTTTTTGGTTCCTTGGTTTCCTCATCAGTAAAATGAGGATAATATTTGTTACCTCTCTCATTCTTGTGAAGTTTAAATGAATCAATTCATTAAAATGCTTAGAACAATGCCTACCACATAGGTTAAAAAAAAAAAAAGAAATGTTCAGTAAGGGTTGTGTTAGCTATTATTATTCCACAGCTACTTTCTTACTTTTGTCCTGCCTTCACTTCAGGATGAGACTCTATCCGTATTCCTGCCCAAGCTCCTGTCCCAGCTCCAGTTTACCTGCCTTACCCTTTGCTCCTGGTTGCCTGACTTTTTTTTTTTTTTTTAAATTTCCTCATCAGTTTCTAGTTAGGTTTAGTTGACTCCTCTTATATTTGTGTTAACTGTCTCCCTGAAGCCTGAAGCCTGCCTATTCCCTTGTCATTTGAGGATCATCCTTCTACAGTTCTTCTAATATGTTGCACATGATAATTCCTGTCTTTGCCTGTGCCTCACCGGTCATATTCTGGCCAAGTTCTAGCTGTACTTTAATTGCTACCACAAATTATTCATA